GCAATTGATTTTTTTCTCCCTTTCCTTACTAAAGAGCATGGAAGGAGAATATGCTTTTGCTCGGCTTTCGTCTGAGGGCACGTGCGAAACGGAAGCTGAGCTATCTCTTTGCTTTCGACCCCCCTCAATAATTCTCATTTATTAGATTTTACAACATAGTCCATTAATCTCAGTTTCAAAGATTTTATTTGATACAACTTTGTTTTCTGTGGGATAGAATGCATTTTGTAAATTGAAATGAGGTTTCTGTTCAGATTCTGTTGCCCTCTATCGCAGATTGTTCCCATCTGCTGAGGAAATACAGAAATCAGCCATGGATTTCATCCAGAAGCAAGACGAAGAGATGCAAGAGGTGTTCTTTACTTTTGTTGCTGACTTAATAATTACCATTATGGCATAACACTGAATTTTTCCAGGCCAAGAAGGCGGCTAAACGCAAGTTAACAGAGCCAGATGAAGAGGGTTGGATAACCGTCACTAAAGCTGCAAAACGGGTTTGTACCTTCTGTTATCAACTGGTAGCAACTGATCACTGAAATGATATGTTTTCGTAGGAGAACTTTTGCAGCATTTTCCCTAATTCTAATTAACTTGAATCGGGATGCTAGGAGCAGTTCGGCTTAGTGGGGGCTCCAAGTGGTACTCAATGAAGCTTGTACAGGCCACCTTGTAAAGTGCTGTAACCAAAGTAGCTCTTTTGTACCATTTCGTAGCTTCACTGGAGTCCATGGGTATCACCATAGTAAGCAGGTTGGTTGACATGATCTAACAAAAGAACTTGCGGAAGAGCAATATGCCCCTCCCATCTGCAAGCCAAACGGTAAAGAGAATATGATTTTCGATTTCATGCTATTGCCCCTGCCTCTTACACTTTCTCAGTTACCAAGACTTTTATTCTTTCCCATTTGTTGCCGAGGTGATTGTTTCACGCTGGTGAATCATTAGCAACGACGAGCAGCGCAGTGTACTTCAAATATACCCTTTAAAGTGGTAAACTTCAGGTTGGTAAGGTCATGAAGTTGAAGAAGGACGAAGTGCCATTCATGGGTGGGCTTAAGAAGAAGAAAAATCATGTGAGTTCATTGCATTAATAAGTCATTTAATTGTAAGAGGTTCTCTTCGTAAGGTCTCTCTGTTGGAATACTGGGGCTATTTTCAGGTCGACATCGCATTTTATTCTTTCGACAAAAAGAACACCAAGGTTAAAAGTGAGTGTTATCTCTTCAGTCAGAAGCTGAGGTCCGCGTTTTTCCTCAGCGGAGTACGCTGCTTGCGCTCTTCGGGTATATGACAAGACAATCGTAGTATACCGCGTTGCTGGGCGCGGCGAACACACTCGACGGACGTGTTGTCCCACCTGACCGTTTGAGTCTGAGTGTTAAAGGAACATCAAAATTCGATGTTACCGGTCATGGAGTTTTGTCTTAAATCCCACTCCAATCGACAAACAATATACATCAGCATTTGCCGCGCACACGGCACGGTACGCCGCGCGTGACATCGCGGCAAATTACT